GCTGAAAAAGCAAATACGGAAAATCCGGGTTCATCATAAAGACGAATACCCCCCCAACCAACCTATCGTAAATCTTAGCCATCCTCACTACTCAACAAACAGGAACATCAAACTGAACACCCAGCACAGATCAGGTCACTAGTCATAAGGAATCTCACGGATTGGTTCCCTGACTGCCTTAAAACCCAATCAACCTACTTGCTTACTCACTTGGCCTGACGAAGCTTTTGTGTCAAAAGCGAAACGTTACCCAGCAATAAATCCACCGATTGTTTACCAAACCCCTCTGAAACGATGACTTCCTAGTTGGTGCCAAACATCTTCCAATTGATTGAAAACCAGTTGGGGATTCACAACAACTAGCCACGAGATGTTCAACTCGAAATGATCCTTTGATCAGCCACAGAAGGGTAACGCAAGCATTTACGTGAATCTTTAATAAAAAAGATTGGGAAGGTACGTACACCCTAAAGTCCTTTGGTCCGAGGATACATTTCACTAGAAAAAAGCTTCAATATCAAGGTTACTATCTGACCAGAACAGAACGGACAGTGCAGCGTCCCCGATGTCAGTGTTAAAAGGAGGACTGACGGGACCATAGAGCGCAAGGTTCACAGAAAGCAAACGTGGAAAGGTCAGTATATTCACTTTGATAGCCTTGTTCCGCTGCAACAAAAGCGTAACCTAGTTAGATGCCTGACTGAGAGAACAATCAAGATATGTTCCCTCGACGGCTTAGAAAAAGAATTAAAGTTCTTGGGACTCACATTCCTGTAGAACGAATATCCCGAAAGGTTCGTACTCAAAACTATGGAAGCCGTTAAGCCCAAACATACACAATGTTTTGTTGGGAAGGAGGCCGCATACATGAGGTAACTCGGTCGCTGAACTAATCACTAGAAGGTTTAGAAACTCTGTTGATATGACATACTTGGCTGCTAATCAGTGTTTGAGCTTCACACCAACCCCACTATCAAATTCCGCTTGAAGGACAAATTGACACGTTCTACCACTAGCTTTTGTGTGTACTCATTTGTGTGCTCGTGCCGAGCATCCTACGTTGGTCGTAGGTCAAGGCATTTGTCGGACAGAATGCGAGAACACAATCCCGTATCTCTGAGTTGTAGTGGGAAGAAACCAGGCTCAAGCGCGATTGCATCAAATTTGATTGAAACCAGTCATGTCATAGACAAGGAGCAAGCCTTCACCAACATGTACCGGGTACCCCTGAATCGATCACGACTGGTACGATCCAGACTACTATCGATCGCGGAGACGATTGGAATCCGACTGCAGGATCCGCAACTTTGCATCCAAAAGAAACTTGTGCGA